TATGGTCCACGTAGCAACCCGACTTCTATGGCAGTTGTGTTGCTAAATATGGACAGAACAGAAAGTGTCACCTTTAAGGGTATCCAATGCGGTTAGGTATGCACAATGGGAGAAATATTCATAAAATATAAAATAATTAGTTAAGTAAGTGGGAGAAAATTTCAATTGTTATTAAAACTGTCGATAAATATTGTATTAAGTTATGCAGTCGCACAAGGGGCCTTAATATTTTTTCATATTATTTTAAGCGTATATAGGCCACAAAAATAGTTTATAACCTACTGTGACTATAGTGCATTTATTCAGTATTGCCCCTCTTAATATTTTTTAGGGAATTTGGTCATTTAATGGTAATGATTTTCCTTTCCGTTCAAAGTCATTGCCATTTTTTTGTTCATGTAGACTTTTGTGTTTCTATAGCATTAAAGTTTTAAGAGTTTTATTTTTTTGGCAGTCAACCACAATTGTTTTTTTTTTTTGCAAAAAGAACATAAAGAAAATGAATACATATTTTGAGAGTATATATTTTTCCATTTCTTCTTAATTCAAAAGCCAATGTTCCCTGGCAATGAAATCGCATCTTCGAATTAACGCCTCCAAAATCTTTTTTAAGGAGACACATTGTTGTTGGTGTTGTATGTTGATACTGTCAATTTGCCGATATGTCTCATAAACTCTAAATTTAATGATAATTTTTAAATATTTTCGTGTTAAACACAAACATTTTGAAAGATATGGGATATAAATTATTAATTTAGGGATTTCAAAATTAAGTGAAATAATTCTATATGTTATGGGGTTTGGCGGCGACATTTAAGTTTCAAAGAACATGACAAAGGCACTATATAAATAAAGTTTATGACAATTAAAATTCTTTATAGCTTTAAACGTTTTTGATGTCGTGCTATTTTACTGGAGTCGAAGTGGAAAGAAATAAGCACAGAAAAAAACTTTTAATGAATATTTTCATTATTTCATTCATTGTTGATTTTTTCAATTTGTACATGTACCTCGCTTAGAAAACAAGTAAAAATGCTTATAATCATGAGAAAGACGCTTTTTCCCAAAAATTTAAATATTTCATTAATATTAAACTTACTTTCACAGTTTTCCTTGTCTCTCTCATTTGACAAAACAAATGTATTCCTCCCAAGAAAAATACCCATCACCATTCATTATTTGGCTGTGTTTTGTTTTGATATCTTCCTATGCCTCTCCCCTCAATTGGTGATTGTTAGTTTTGCAACCGGTTGTTTGTCTACTGCAGTTGAGAGGTAGTATGTGAACCTAACTGAGAATTTAACCACAAAAAACGACTGATGAAAAGCGAACTTGTGTTAACCAGATACATTAAAGTACGTTTTCGGTTGTTTTGGGCATATATGTTCTACTTTTTTCTGTTTTGAGCATATATGTTCTACTTTTTTCTGTTATTTACAACCGAAGTCTCCCCAATCTATCGATTGTGGTTAGTTTTCCATTCCATTGTTTCAAATACTCGTACAGACCTCTTCATTGGTATTACAAAATTCGCATATGTAGTTTCCAAATTATTTCGATATAAATGCTAAATACAATATAGCAAAGAAGTATTGATGGTTCCAATTCTACTGAACGTCTTGCGCGTTGTTATCATCAGCTTGGTCTTCTCGCCATTTACTGCCAGATCCACTTTGGCAGACTTCGTTCGCACCTGTACCTGTCACCAGGTTTCCTTCCTCAGCTCTACAGGAGGATGTGAGTTTGGTGTTTTACTCGTTGTTAACCTTTCCGGACTTCATCCTGTCTCCTGTACATCCCGATTTGCTCACGATCGCGTTTTTCTTGTTCTTCTTATTTACTTTTTTTGAAAATACATTTCTCCCCTCTCCTTTTCTCTCCGCAATTCTCTCTGGCATTACGTTTTGCTACTGTCTTTCTCTCAAAATCGACATTCAATTTTCTCTATAAAATACTTATGGTATGTTCCAGTAATTTTTTAATAGTAAATCTAGTAAAAGGAAAACATTCCAAAAGTGCTCTCAGAGTACAAAATAATTTGAAAAGTTCGGGAACGCAAAATTAGATGGCAATATTTCAAAATCAACATAACAGCCAATCAGAAGTAGGCATTCCTGTTTACCATTTGTACTCGACCAAAATCAACAATTTCGTCAATTTGGCATTAGTTTGTAAAAGTCGAAAATCGGTTTTGAAAAGCTTTGACAAAATCGAAAGATCAAAAATTCGACATTTTGATTTTGCGCTTGACTGTGCTCCTTTATACCTTTGTGGGGGTGACACTGCGGTTTGTTTGTAAAAGTCGAAAATCGGTTTTGAAAAGCTTTGACAAAATCGAAAGATCGAAAATTCGACATTTTGATTTTGATTTTGCGCTTGACTGTGCTCCTTTATACCTTTGTGGGGGTGACACTGCGGGGAGGTCCACAATCGAGACCAAGATAAGCCTGGGCTTTGCCAGAGCCTTTCTTTACATCTATCATCCCCTACGCCACCCGGTATTTAATTTACAATTCCAAAAATAAGGACGGAAAAAGAGGCAGAAGGACTCGAAATAGAAGGAATATATGTTTTACAAAATAATCCTTATTTTCATCTCCAAAGAAACTGTCCACTCGAGACCACGAGTTATTTTTTTTTCAAATAGTGCTAGTACAAATATCCCAGAAGTATTCCAGGAAGTTCAAGGTCCCGATTTGTACAAATATTTCGACTGCACTTTACATATCCCTCTTCTGAGGAATTAATAATCAAAATGTTTTATATATAGTATAAATCATTCTATATTGTTTTCAACTGCTCGAATAATATAGTACATATTTAACAACATTCGTACAAAATGTGTAAGGTAATAAAACACAATCCATAAAATATTTATACTAAATTCGTGACATTTAAATTGTTTTATGCTGTGATGCACGTTCCACAGTAACATCTCCGACCAGACATATGACTATTTATTACAAAATGCAAAATTTGTAAAGCAGATTAATATTTTGCCACAGAAGCGACAATGAATCCACTGAAGGTGTTACAAGACACGTTTTAGTCATTAGTAGTGAACTGAATTTGTTGGAAGACAACAGATATAGAGTTGACGAATGTAAACGTGGTAGTGTGATTGTTCACTCATTCACCTAATGCATCCGTTTCAGACAATTTGAACTGTCATCATATGTCTTACCGAGTTGAAGTGACATTTACAAAAAGTGAATAAATGTGCGGTTGTCATATCATTTATTATAAAGATCTCCCAAGAACAGATGAACGTCTCCTACAGCTCTTAATGTTACAAAGACATGAAAAACATTTACCATGTTTTCGCTAACTAATTTGTAGTGTTCATTAACCTAGTTTGATGGAATTTCTGTACTAATGGGGACATTATAATTTTTTTGCTCTATATTTATTTATATGAAAAAATAAGAATGTATATTTTGTCCGACTTAATTGTGATTATTTTAAGAATATTTGTTTATATTTAGAGACTATCAGTGTCCTAAGCAGAGGCATAAAATATATTTCTAAAGGACAATTAGAAACTTAAGCATGGATTTTTTTAAAAATAGTTTTGAAAAGGACGATGATGCCTATAATATTAGATTTTTTAAAGAATGTTTTTGAAGCATCTTCATAGCTATAGGCGTGGATTTTTTACGGAACATTTTTGAAGGACAATTAGACCAATAAGCGTAGATTTTTTAAAGAATATTTTTGAAGGACCATCAGATCAATAAGCGTGGATTTTTTTAAGAATATTTTTTGACCAATAAACGTGGATTTTTTAAAGAATATTTTTGAAGTATCATCAGACCAATAAGCGTGGATTTTTAAAGAATATTTTTTTTAAGGACCATCAGACCAATAAGCGTTGATTTTTTAAAGAATATTTTTGAAGGACCATCAGAACAATAAGCGTGGAGTTTTTTAAAGAATATTTTTCCAAGGACCATCAGATCAATAAGCGCGGATTTTTTAAAGAAGGACCATCAGACCAATAAGCGTGGATTTTTTAAAGAAGGACCATCAGACCAATAAGCGTGGATTTTTTAAAGAAGGACCATCAGACCAATAAGCGTGGATTTTTTAAAGAATATTTTTGAAGGGCCATCAGACCAATAAGCGTGGATTTTTAAAGAATATTTTTGAAGGACCATCAGACCAATAAGCGTGGATTTTTTAAAGAATATTTTTGAAGGACCATCAGACCAATAAGCGTGGATTTTTTAAAGAATATTTTTGAAGGACCATCAGACCAATAAGCGTGGATTTTTTAAAGAATATTTTTGAAGGACCATCAGACCAATAAGCGTGGATTTTTTAAAGAATATTTTTGAAGGACCATCAGACCAATAAGCGTGGATTTTTTAAAGAATATTTTTGAAGGACCATCAGACCAATAAGCGTGGACTCTTTAAAGAATATTTTTGAAGGACCATCAGACCAATAAGCGTGGATTTTTTAAAGAATATTTTTGAAGGACCATCAGATTAATAAGCGTGGATTTTTTAAAGAATATTTTTAAAGGACCATCAGACCAATAAGCGTGGATTTTTTAAAGAATATTTTTGGAGGACCATCAGACCAATAAGCGTGGATTTTTTAAAGAATATTTTTGAAGGACCATCAGACCGTGGATTTTTTAAAGAATATTTTTGAAGGACTCCCCAAAGGCGTGGATTTTTTAAAGCATATTTATGAAGGACTCCCCAAAGGCGTGGATTTTTTAAAGCATATTTTTACCAAGAATATTTTTGAAGGTTTCATCGAAGCTTAACCGAGGTGTGTTTTTTAAAGAATATTTTTTTAAGGTTTCATCGAGGGGTGGATTTTTTTAAAGAATATTTTTGAAGGACCATCAGATTAACAAGCGTGGATTTTTTAAAGAATATTTTTGAAGGACCATCAGACCAGATTAACAAGCGTGGATTTTTTAAAGAATATTTTTGAAGGACCATCAGATTAACAAGCGTGGATTTTTTAAAGAATATTTTTGAAGGACTTCCAGAACTATAAGCGTGGATTTTTTTAAAGAATATTTTTGAAGGACCATCAGATTAACAAGCGTGGATTTTTTAAAGAATATTTTTGAAGGACCATCAGATTAACAAGCGTGGATTTTTTAAAGAATATTTTTGAAGGACCATCAGATTAACAAGCGTGGATTTTTTAAAGAATATTTTTGAAGGACCATCAGATTAACAAGCGTGGATTTTTTAAAGAATATTTTTGAAGGACCATCAGAACAATAAGCGTGGATTTTTTAAAGAATATTTTTCAAGGACCATCAGACCAATAAGCTTGGATATTTTAAAGAATATTTTTGAAGGACCATTAGACAAAATAAACGTGGATTTTTTAAAGAATATTTTTCAAGGACCTTTAGACAAATAAACGTGGATTTTTTAAAGAATATTTTTCAAGGACCATTAGACAAATAAACGTGGATTTTTTAAAGAATATTTTTTGAAGCCATAAACGTGGATTTTTTAAAGAATATTTTTTGACCAATAAACGTGGATTTTTTAAAGAATATTTTTGAAGTACCATCAGACCAATAAACGTGGATTTTTTAAAGAATATTTTTTGACCAATAAACGTGGATTTTTTAAAGAATATTTTTGAAGTATCATCAGTATTTCAAGGACCATCAGACCAGATTAACAAGCGTGGATTTTTTAAAGAATATTTTTGAAGGACCATCAGATTAACAAGCGTGGATTTTTTAAAGAATATTTTTGAAGGACTCTTCATAAGCGAGGATTTTTTAAAAAATAATTTTGAAGCACTCTTCATGACGGGGATTTTTTAAAGAATATTTTTGAAGGACTCCAAATAGGCGAGGATCTTTTAAAGAATATTTTTGAAGGACCATCAGATTAACAAGCGTGGATTTTTTAAAGAATATTTTTGAAGGACCATTAAACAAAAATGATAGACATTTCTATAGCCTTCCAATTAAACCAATTGCCTACACACCTTCTTCTTTTTCCAGTGTATTAATATCACATATTAAATGCTTATTACTTCATCCTACTACAGAAGAAAACAGTCATTACATTCACTCTATTCCAATAATTGCCGATATTAACTCTTCTTGGCCTCTGTAAATGGTGAGCGCCAAGAAGTGGGTTAATAAATAATGATTTTATTAACTGTGAACTGAACATTTCCGTTCGATACTCCGTTTCGAGTTGGTTGTTGTTGAAAGGCATTTCCATTTACAGTAAAGAAACTAAAAACTAATATGAATGACATTCATGAGTTAAGTAAGTACTTCCATTATTTCTTAAGGCGATTTTAAGTGAAATGTTTGCAGAGTTCATATTTGCTGTAAATAGTGGAACATGTCTTGGAGATGCCATTCTAAGCCATGGTAGATTGAACACACATTGGATTGCCTGTGTTGAAAGAATAACTGATGCTGTTTTAATGATTATGTTGTGAAATTTGATACCTTTAGAAGGCATTCACTTTGGAATTACTTGCAGAATAGTTGTTCTAGGTAAGGCAGAGGAAATGTTCTTATATTTCATTATCCGGAATAATTGACAGGAATTGGAAAGGCTGGTTCAGTTCGGTGTTCTATATACAAATGAAGACATTGTTAATAGAATGATCTAGAGGGTTATGCTATTGAGGAAATAGTTTTTTAAATAGCAAACTCACCAAAGTACCGATATTTGTTTATTGTTTAAAGAATATTTTTCAAGGACCATTAGACTAAAATGCGTGGTTTGTTTAAAGAATATTTTTCGAGCTGAACTCGAGAATTTTTTAAAGAATCAGAAGAATAGATGTGGATTTTTAAAAAATATTTTCAAGGGCTATCAGTTGATGGCATGGATTTTTTAAAGAATATTTTTGGAGGTCCATCAAACCAATAAGCGTGAGTTTTTTTAAAGAATATTTTTGGAAGACCATCAGAACACTAAGCGTGGATTTTTTAAAGAATATTTTTGGAGGGCCATCAGAACACTAAGCGTGGATTTTTTAAAGAATATTTTTAGAGGACCAGCAGACCAATAAGCGTGGATTTTTAAAAATATTTTTAGAGGACCAGCAGACATAGAAGCGTGGATTTTTAAAAATATTTTTTGAGGGCCATCTGACACAGAAGCGTGGATTTGTTTAAAGAATATTTTTTGAGAGTCATCAGACATAGATGTGTGTATTTTTTAAAAAAATATTTTTTGAGGGCCATCAGAACAATAAGCGTGGATTTTTAAAGAATATTTTTGGAGGGCCATCAGGGCTAAAGGCGTTGATTTTTTAAAGAATATTTTTGGAGGATCATAAGACGTAAAGGCGTTGATTTTTTAAAGAATATTTTTGGAGGATCATAAGACGTAAAGGCGTGGATTTTTTAAAGAATATTTTTGGAGGACCATCAGGGCTAAAGGCGTTGGTTTTTTAAAGAATATTTTTGGAGGACTATCAGGGCTAAAGGCGTTGGTTTTTTAAAGAATATTTTTGGAGGACCATCAGGGCTAAAGGCGTTGGTTTTTTAAAGAATATTTTTAGAGGACCATCAGGGCTAAAGACGTTGGTTTTTTAAAGACTATTTTTGGAGGACCATCTGAGCTAAAGTCGTGGATTATTTAAAGAATATTTTTCAAGGATCATCAGATCTGAAGGCGTGGATTGTTTAAAGAATATTTTCAAGGATCATCAGATCTGAAGGCGTGGATTGTTTAAAGATTATTTTTCAAGGATCATCAGATCTGAAGGCGTGGATTGTTTAAAGAATATTTTTCAAGGATCATCAGATCTGAAGGCGTGGATTGTTTAAAGAATATTTTTCAAGGATCATCAGATCTGAAGGCGTGGATTGTTTAAAGAATATTTTTCAAGGATCATCAGATCTGAAGGCGTGGATTGTTTAAAGAATATTTTTCAAGGATCATCAGATCTGAAGGCGTGGATTGTTTAAAGAATATTTTTCAAGGATCATCAGATCTGAAGGCGTGAATTGTTTAAAGAATATTTTTCAAGGATCATCAGATCTTTGTGACCCAATGTTGCCCACAGGCAACAAAATGTTTTAGAGCTTATATTTATCATGTAGAGTGTAGATATATATTCTTTGGATTTCATATGTCAAGTATGAATATGGACGACACATATCAAAAGAAAAATCTAAAAAATTAAAATTTTTGCTAAAGTTATGATTTTTTTAAAGAATATAGAGAAGAGAGCAAAAATGTGTATTTTTAAAAAATATTTTTGTATACAGTCCAAATTATTTAAATCGCTTCATATTAAAGAATATATTCTGCCAAAAATGTGGATTTTTAATTTGCCGAATTATTTTTGATTCTTGAAAAAAACCGTGGAATATAAAGAATATATTTAAAATAATTTTTCCATACGATTTTGCATTTGGTTTTTTGATATTGGGCTTTTATTTTTCAGAAAGAATAAAAGGAATATTTTTCAAGAAACATGCAAGGATGTAGCGGTGTCAGAGTTTGTCCATAAAAAAAAAAAATCCATTAAATCTGTGAACAGAAAATTGATTTTTTAATAATTTTTAAGGAAAAAAATGCGGGGCTCAATAGGGTTAAAGTATATCGTTTTTATTAATTTTAAAGTTACAATATGCAGATACATGATGTTGTTTTGGCTTGAGGTATTGTGTTAACATTGCGAACTATGAATATCGATAATGGTGCTATTAGATCAATTGATAAAATATTATACAGCTCCGAATTTCTTCGGAGAGCAATTCCAGCCATCGGAATTTTGATATATAAAAAATAATGAATTACCTATTTAATCCATAACTAATTTTCAAATTAACGATAAAATTCTAATTACTACCTATCTCTCATAATGTGAATTTATTTTTCATTAAAAAATCCTATAATTTTTGATGATGTCATTAGCGAGAATAATGTTAATATCATTGTTCTATTAAATGATCTAAACGTGATGTAGGCGGTGGTATTCTTTCTAAAGTAGCCGCAATCCGATTTACTCAAGTCGAAGTAAAAACAACAACATCAACAACTCGTAATAAAGGAAGACAACAGCCCCGGATGAATACAAAAGGTTTGCCGCCACAGTTAATCAATGGAAAAATTACTCTCTTTCGTATCCCAATGACCAGATGCCATGATGATGTGGCTATGTGGTAACTAAATGGGCGCAACTTAGCCATTTACTTTGCTACTGCTTCGACTGCGGCAGTGCTAATATTGTTCTTGGACTTCAGCATAAAATAAAAGCTGAGCCATAAAAAGAACAGAACGGCTGTTGTTGTACGGCCTTTAGCTACCATAAAAATAAAATGCTGACAGACGACGCTTTTGTTGAAAAAATAATAATGAGTGCATCGTAGGAAATTATGTACAATAAAAGTACACAATGAAATGCTTAAATGAAGTATTTTATTAACATAATCAAGTAACAAATAAATGTATACATATGAATATACATATATTTTTTTAAAGAAATATGTAAACCTCGAGAAAAGTAAAATGAAATTATTTTAAGACTGTAGTTTTATTCTTTGAATATGAATGGATCTCTAAGGAATGATTGTCAATGACGTGATCAATAAAACGTCTATATCAAACATATACATTATCCGGACATGTCTTTCGAATCAATTCAGCTCTAGTTCCAGAAAGGATGTTATTATTTGAGCCTGATCAAGAACTAAGTGTTATTTTAAAAATTTCTGAGTTACGTATGTTTAACAGTCATTTTGGTTGTTGTATTTTGGTGTGCAATTCGATTTTTTTACTATTTGAAAACATGGATCAAAGAAATTGCATTAAGCTCTGAGTAATAAGTAAACAGAAGTCAAAGTAGATTAGAAGTGGTGACTGTGCCATTTGGTGAGTCGACTAAAGCGAGGTATTTAATCGATAGTACGGTCCATAAACAAAAACAGTAAGGAAAGTAGATAACACAACATCATCCATTGTAAGCTATGGTACCTCTTCGGTAGAAAGATATTTTATACGACGTAGTTCTCTTCGCTCTGTCCTGTCACTCTCAGCATGCTTGACAAACTGTGGGTTAAAATAGCGAACGCTTCGTACCAGTCACACTTTTGTCCTTAAATGTGTCTTATGGCCTATCATCCTTCTTACAAGGGTTCGAGAGCGACCTAGTTTTGCTATAGTTTACTCACAAGTTTCCAATGGTACAACACTTCAGATACTCTGACTATTTAATCCACTTATGCTTCGCAACTAATCTGCTGACCTTCACCGTTGAAAATTGACCTGGGATTTCATTGAAAAAATAATCGTAATTTGTGAGACCCATTTTCACCATGGTGGCAATGGCATCTGTTGAGAAGCCTCTACATCCTCAACATGTAACTTTTTGGTATGGTTTATTGTCCGTGGGGGTCATTGGACGGGCCTTTTTATATCCTCCATCAACACCTCGAAATCTTTACCAGAATAAAATTCTATGTCTATCTGTGAGTCCGTCTGTTGAAATCACGATAGGGATCTCAATATTAAAGATAGAGCTCAAAAATTTGACACAGACACTACTGGTACTCCCAAGATGTTTGGTATAGCAAAGGGAATATATTGGTTGGGAGTAGCCCCATTAAACGGTACCCTCCAACATACAGTAGATTTGAGATTTTCAACACGT